TTTTGGCTGGCCAACTTTTAAGGAAAGGGACAAATTTAATCTTCAAAGAGTAGTCGGTAAACAGCGAAATTGGCAGTGGATTGCTCCTCAAAATGTTACCTTTTTTTGTGAGTGTAGCGCTGTTAGGATTAGTCAGAATATCCAAAACGAGGTATCGCTGGAAATCTTTGCTGACTTTGTTGCTTACCAATTAATTAACTTAAACTGAAAGCTAAACGGGTCTAAGAAGGAAAACATGCATGATCATGCATCGTTCCATATGGAGAGATAACGACCAAAGCAGTCGTTGAAGGTTTTAGGCCATCGAAATCACAATGCTAGAAGAACATGTTTAGAGCTATTGTAACGGTTTCAAGTACAACATACTAGATCACAATGTTATGTTAAATAAGTTATCCCTGTTCGGCTTTAATCTTTCCGCCGTACAATAATAATAATAATAATGAAAGTGAAGAATGATCATCGCAGTAAATTTTCCAATTTAAGCAATTGGAAAGAAGAAGCCTGGAAAAAAAATCAGGGCGTCAACGGGATTCGAACTAAGGTAGTGTTTTAGGTCCGCTCCTATTTATAATGTATATCAACAATCTTCCGCTTGCGGTAAGAGCGTGCTCCATTTAGCTTTATGTCGATGATACGCTTACTTTTTTGCTGTTAAATCTGTTAGCGAAATTTCGTCTAGAGTTTCAACGGATCTCGATAGATTAATAAGTTGGTTCCGATCCAACTACTCAGTTGATGCTTAATGTTTTCAGGACTAAAATAGTGCTGATAGGTACCCACCAGGGGCTTAACGCAGTTGAAAGTTTTTCGGTTGCGGCTGATAACACTAGTTTAGAGAGGGTAGAATCTTCCGCTTGCCGATGATACACTTATTTTTTTGCTGGTAAACCTGTTAGCGAAATTTAGTCGAGACTTTCAACGGATCTCCATAGATTAATAAGTTGGTTCCGATCCAACTACTCAGTTAATGCTTAATGTTTCCAGGACTAAAATAATGCTGATAGGTACCCATCAGAGGCTTAACGCAGTTGAAAGTTTTTCGGTTGCGGCTGATAACACTAGTTTAGAGAGGGTAGATACTTTTAAATATCTTGGTGTAACTGTGGAAAAAACGTTCTCCTGGAAAGAGCGCGCTAAGCCTATTAGGCAAGAAGGTCTCCTCTAGATTGGCGTTACTGCGCCGCGCTAGGAAAGTCTTACCAAAGTCTACTTGAATTACATTATATAATACGATGGTTCTGCCCTTATTTGACTATCTTGGGAAAATTGTGGTCAGGGTAGTAAACCGTACTTAGACAAGCTAAATGGCCGTGCTGCATGCATAATTGAGGGCCATACGGTTAAGTCAGACGCACTTTCTACCATATTTGGCTTGGCGCCATTTGCCAGCGTGCCTTAACTTCCTTAAATCTATCCTTGTCTATAAGTGTATCAATGGAGCACTTTCTCATCTGCTGAGAGAATTTAGGCACGCTCACCAACTGGTGATTTATGTAGATTCAATTTCTCGAAGGCAGACGATAATTTAATGCTGTTTGGTAAAGGAGCGTCAGAGGTGGGAGATGTTGAGAGGGATGTTGAAGTAACGTCCGCTTTACTGAAAGTCGAGAAAAAGAAGCGGTTGAAAGCCTCAGCTTTGTGCTGGTAAACACCTGGTTGTTGTATATGACGTTTGCTAGAATACTTTGTTTAAGCGAAAGTAGGACCAAAAACGGTTTTGGGTTTTTCCTTACACTTCTTCGCTTAACGTAGTATTGTTTTAAACTTTTGGCTCTCAGCACACTGAATCGAAGTTTAGGCTGTCTGTTCATAAGTAGTTCCCTGGGTGACTTCCCTAAAGCGGTGGGCGTAGCCCTGTGCGTCTGCAAAAACCTGTCCAATTACGTTTGTAAACCCTCCTGTATTCCCACTCAATGTATCCTTGAATTATCACACATACAGGTAGCGTTCCGCTATCCCTTTTGCTGCAGGATGCCCACGAGCGGTGAGAGCATGGAAAATATATTTAGGGTACGTTTATAACCGCTCTTTTCAGCTGACGTTGGTGGGCGACCTAAGAATGTCTGCTTGGGAGGTTAAGCCGAGTACTGAAAGTTTCAACGCTTTTTCCTTGAAGGTTGACAGTCTATAAAGCAATAAAATCCCATTATTTTCCATTCTCCGATGGACCTTAACTTCATTTGTTTTGCTGCAGGTATTTAATAAGAAACAAGATTAAGGAGCTTCCACCAGGGATATTTTCAAATCTCTTTTCCTTGAGAGAACTGTAAGTGAACGAAAGACTCTTTCTTTGTTTATTGATGTTAATCACTAACCCAGTTCAACCCTTGAACATACAAGGGGGTGGATGCAAGCCCCCCATAAGGTTATTCTGAGTTTTTTTCCTAGAGGATAAAACATCAGTACATGACGTTTTCAGTAACTGTTTGTTCAGCCCTCACGCACATTTTGAGACAAATTAAATGATGTTGAGTTGCTATGATTACGAGATATGACGTCATGAGTAGCAAGTGGTCAAGCCAATTTTGGGTGAAAACACATGTTTTTCAACTTCTTTCATCTATAAAAGTAAATCTTGTGGCTAAAATCATGCAAAGTGCTTATTTGGGTTATTTTTCATTTAAAGCACAAAAAATTACCATTTCTCGCAGTTTTAACCTGATTTCTAATTCTTGGTAAAATCCAAGATGGCGGCCAAGATGGCGACCATTGTTGGTGACGTCACAGGCCGCCAGCAGCGCCACCACCCCTAAACTATACGTTATCTTGTTAAGAAGATCAAAGACTTTCCACTAAAGGTAAAATCCTTTCAAAATGCTACAACATATCCAAAACTCCTGGGAGGGGTATGGGTGGGGGTATGAATTTGAAAAATCCATCGTAAACAGCCTGACTGCTCGGTTCTCCTCTTACCTAAATGGCCGAACCCAAAGCATCAGTGTAAATGGTACTATCTCTGAACCTATGCCGATTCAGTCTGGGGTCTCTCAAGATAGTGTTTTAGGTCCGCTCCTATTTATAATGTATATCACTGAGTCTTCCGCTTGCCGATGATACACTTATTTTTTTGCTGGTAAACCTGTTAGCGAAATTTAGTCTAGACTTTCAACGGATCTCCACAGATTAATGAGTTGGTTCCGATCCAACTACTTAGTTAATGCTTAATGTTTCCAGGACTAAAATAATGCTGATAGGTACCCATCAGAGGCTTAACGCAGTTGAAAGTTTTTCGGTTGCGGCTGATAACACTAGTTTAGAGAGGGTAGATACTTTTAAATATCTTGGTGTAACTATGGAAGAAACTTTCTCTTGGAAAGAGCACGTTAGCCTATTAGGCAAAAAGGTCTCCTCTAGATTGGCGTTACTGGGCCGCGCTCGGAAAGTCTTACCTAAGTCTAGTTGTATTAAATTATATAAAACGATAGTTCTGCCCTTATTTGACTATTTGGGGTAGTTGTAGTCAGGGTAGTAAACCGTACTTAGACAAGCTAAATTGCCGTGCTGCATGCATAATTGAGGGCCATACGGTTAAGTCAGACGCACTTTCTACCATATTTGGCTTGGCGCCATTTGCAAGCGTGCCTAAACTTCCTTAAATGTATCCTTGTCTATAAGTGTATCAATGGAATAGCACCTTCTTATCTCATCTGTTCATCCCTCGCGCACATTTTGAGACAAGTTTAGTGATGTTCAGTTGCTATAGTTACGAGATATGACGTTATAAGTAGCAGGTGGTCAAGCCAATTTTGGGTGAAAATACATGTTTTTTCAACTTCTTTCAACAATAAAAGTAAATCTTGCCGCTAAAATCATGCAAAGTGCTTATTTGGGTTATTTTTCATGTAAAGCACAAAAAATTACCATTTCTCGCAGTTTTAACCTGATTTCTAATTCTTGGTAAAATCTAAGATGGCGACCATTGTTGGTGACGTCACAGGCCTCTAGCAGTGCCACTACCCCTAAAATATACCTCACCTTGTTAAGAAGATCAAAGGCTTTCCACTAAACAGGGGCACCCAACGAGGATATAGTTCAAAACCACTTAACATAGCATTGTTGAACGTATTTTAGTATTCAAACGGTACATATAGCCATATTTTTATCCCCTAAAAACTTTTCATCTGTTCGGATTTCCTAGCTGAAAGTCTAGTGATCCGAAAATTATAGGAATAAAAACTTACCTTCTCGAAAATTTCAGCCAGGAAAAGGCTCCCGAAAATTCTAGGTGGCCTTTTTTAGGGTCAAAATCCGTTAAAAATGGGTAATTTTACCATTTTGTAGATGTTCGAAAATCGTAGGAGAGGCAGGCAAGCAAGAAATTTTACAGCAAATGCTCCGAAAATTCTAGATCTCAAGTCGTCTTCCGAACAGATATTTTCCCGAAAATTGCCGTTGGGTGCCCCTGACTAAAGGTAAAATCGTTTCAACATACTACAACATATCCAAAACTCCGGGGAGGGGTTCCGTGTACGTCCGAGGGTTAACTCAGAAGACGTTGCGTGTTTCGGGAAAGCATGCTTTTTCATTTCCGTGCGAAATTTAAACTGAGAATTTTGCACACAATTTTATCTCATAGCCTGAGAAGCTGGATATATGTTTGACGAATGGGCAAGTGAGCGGTAAAGAAAAAATGCGAGTGCGAAGTGCGGAAAGAAGTGCGTTCCTCCATACTAATAGGGACTTTTAGCACCGACGGTTTTCAGGACGGCTACGGGAACCGGAAATGAAGTCAGACTCTTTTTCGCGCGCGCGAGTGTCACCCTCGGTTTCTTGCCGCCGTAGCGGCCTTTCCTAGTACGGCAAACCGAGTAGTTTGACGTACTGGCGACTACGGGAGTTTTAGGTGAGTATTTTATTAACCTTTTAATTGACTTTTAGTGTTTTCATTTGAAAAACAACTTCTTATTCCTTTTCTTCATAAATTTAGACCAGTTTTCTTTAGAATTGGTTTGATATTTTTCCTTTATTTACGCTTTTTTCACAGGTGTGGAAGACACATGTCGGTCGAAAAGCATCCCAAGTGAGTTTATTTTTGTACATGATTCTGCTTGTCCTTTCCGTTTTCATTTTGATATATAACGCTAATACTCTTTATCTAAATTGTTTCTTAACGTTTGGAAGAGGGTTTTTCTTTCAAGTTTTTATCTATTGTTATGTTTCAGTCGCCGAATATCTTTTTTATAACCAGACAAAACATGCCTTTTTTTGCCTATGGCTGCTTTAATTTTTATATACAACTCTTGATGGTGTTCAGCTTCAAGTCGGGCATCAAAATGAAAGGCGAGAAGCATTTAAACGTGCTCATATGAGTTGCTGGACGTGATAACGGGCTGTATTCATTGAAGGACATCCTCCTTTAAATTTCTCTGCAAGTGGCTACTGTCTCGAACAAGTTTTTCAGTGCAAGGTAGGAAATGAAACAGAAAGAATAATTAAGCTTATAGCTGTAACCACTTGCAGTCCTTGACTGACAATTTTTATTTGAGCGAACATTGTAAAAATCTGATTTAAGCTGGAATCAGTGGAATCACGGTTGAATTTTCCTAATTGTTTCGCTGTTTGTTGATAAAATTTGTAGCATCGTTTCCAAGATTCAATGATTTGTATGTTATTTCTAAGCCATGATCTAGAATCCCTGAATAGCTGAGGGGCTAGTCAGGTTAAAAACTCGTGTCTGATTATTTTGTCTTACTGTAGGGCTGCAATGGAGTGGACCCAAGACCATGATTTGATGTTGCTGAGAGAGACTGCGTTTGAGGACCCTTTTCAATTTAAAAAAGGAAGTCCTGACAGAGGTGAAGTGTGGTCGAAGATAGCAAGGTCGCTCAATAGTTCTGCAGAATTAAAGTTTGCCGTAAAGCAGAGATCAGTGAGGGAGAGGTTTGCACTATTACAAGCTAAGTATAAAGAAAAAAACAAAAAGGATGAGGCAAGCAGTGGAACATCAACACAAATGTCAGAATTGGACCGGTTATTGGAAGATATCACTGAGAAAGAGAAAGATAGCGAAGAGAGTAGGAATGCTGCAGCTGCTAAGAAAGATAACCAAGACAGAGAAAAGGCAGAAAGCATTAGAAAGACAGCTATGGAAAGGGTAAGCCAGACTAAGAAACGACAGGAAGGGACAGAGCGTGAAGCAGTGAGCACTAAACGAAGACGTAGAGGTGGAGATGAGACTATAGAATACCTTAGAGAAAAAAGCGAGGCAGAAAGAAAGGTACGAGAGCAAGAACTGGAACTGAAAAAGGCAGGGGTGGCACTACAGGAAAAGCGGGCAGAGCAAGGCCAGACCCAGATGCAGGAGATGTTGAGAGTAATGCAACAACAGCAACAGCAGAGTCAAAACATGACAGCTTTGCTAATGCAGCAACAACAACATTTTATGAATGTAATGCAAAGTCTTCTTAAAAAGCCACAGTAAAAAACTTTCCTCGTTGCTTTAAAGTACCCTTCAGTGTGAAATATGACATTTTGTCTTGCCCTTTTTTAGCTTGGCAGGGTCCATTTAATAGTCATGTAGATTTGATTAATTAATCTGTTGTAATCTATTTGAGTATAGTTTTATCAAGTTTGTGGACATTAAACAACCTTTGGAAACAGGTTTGTTCTCTCGACTGGTAATGAAGTCAGATAGTGGTGTATTTGTGGATTGTCTTAAATAAACTATTAATGAGAATCCCGCACTTAAATGCAGAGATTTTCTTCGATGACTACAGTTCTATGCATGACTACAATTTTATTTTCAGTTGATGTCTACAGGTAGCCCAGTAAGTTACATCAAGTAGTAACGGCAATGATTATTCTGCTCAAGAATGGTTTTTAGAACCTCTCAACATCTATAAACAGTGCTATCATTGCTTTTTGATTTTAACTTTGTGAAGTACATCAATTAAAAAAAAGACAGAGAAGAATCTTGTAGTAAACCCATCTGATCTACAGTTATGTTGACTGTATACAGTGAAAAGAAAAGAACCGTAAGATAACTGGTTTGGTTCAATCAAGGGTACAGAATGCCCTTGAGCTGACTGGAAAAAAATCAGATATCTGTATAATGGACATGGCAAAGAATACAGTCTAAACTTACAGGCTGTAGCTGGATGGTTTTATTACCCTTTTACATTGTCCAGTTGGAAAGCTAGTAATGATTGCTAAGGTTTTATGGTTCTCTTCATGCAAAGTAATCCTGAATGTGTGGAGGCTCCAGTCCAAAAACTGGGAGGTTTGATTGCCATAAAGACAAGTAAGTGCATTTCTTAAAAGACCAGATACCACATATAATTTCCCAACACTACTGAGCTCTATTTTTAAATTTTTTTTGAAGTCCAGAAATTTAAAATAATTGGCTATGTCCCCAAATAACCATTCTACGGAGACCCTGACTTCACTCATGCTTTTATTGTAAGCAGCCATTTGGGGAGTGAACCCAACACCCTGTCGAAAAGGCGCTTGCAAGTGGACCCTCAAAGGGTACGCAGGGTCTCCATACACACACAGTGGTTGGCCAGTAGGGGATATTGCATTGTGTTGCAACATGGGGAGCAATCCTGATTCTCTGAGCATTCCAGCGTCGTGTTTTCTTCCCTCTGAAAGGCAAAAAAGGAAAGTGCCTTCGGTATGGTCAAGCATTCTGACTGGGAAATGCTAATTCCTGTATATGGATGGCAAACATAGTAAACCTCCTTCAGTGTAAAACTGTACAACTTTTTTCTGTTTCTGACCTGTTTTTTTCCGATATGTTTTATATGCATTAATCTTCTTCAAATATGGGACACTTCACTGGCAAAATTTCACAGTAATCCTAGCAAATGTTTTTTATTTTTACGAGATCATACATCAGATTCTTACCAACTGGACCATATAAATGGGCGATAAGACCATTTGGGATGGCTACAGCCTGGAATTTTAAGCTGTGTACCCGCTTGTGGCCATTATAAAGGATTCGTTGGTTTGTTCCTGGCCTGGCTATCGGACGCACTGTCCCGTCGATAAAACCAAAACAGTTGTCTAGAGGTGCTCCATGTTGATGTATACAATCAGCATACGTTTGCAGGGCAGGTGGATTCAATACGGCCAGATTCCAGTCGGTAATTCTTCGGCAATGGGCTTCGTAAATGAAGTCCAGAACACAGTTTGTAGCCAGGCAAATTACCGATACAGGTCGTTGTCCGAACCTGTGCAACAAATCACTGTATCGACACGGGTATGTCAGCCTCTTCAGCAACATGCATAGTGCCTCCATTCCTCCTACAACACTTCTTTGTTCCAAGACAAATTGGTCAGGAATTCCTAAAACCTCCGCTAGAATAGGAAGGTCGTGTTTATGGACCCGAAACTCCGCCAAGCACTCGTCGTTTTGCATGTCGTCGAGATCAAAAAGTGGTTACTGCTCGTAAGGAAAATCTAAGTTAGTTGACCTATTCACATCATACAGGAGTAGAAACTCCTCTTCTGTAATTAACCTTTCATCTAATGCATAGAGCAAATGTTCTCGAGCCTTCTTTAGGGACATTTTCCCCTAAATACCTAGGTTTGTGTCCGAGTCTCTCCGACTATTTCGTTCACGCCGTAGTCAGGGATTGTTTTGGTTGCTAAACTATTTTTATTTTCGCGGGCTTTTGTGCGGACGGCGCCTTGTATCCCCAGTCCCGCGCGATCTAGTTCGCCGTAGCCGTCCTGAAAACCGTCGGTGCTAAAAGTCCCTAATGTTTTTTGTACAGTTCCTTGCCATTAATGTTCCCAACCCATAACCCTTACTATGGAAGCAAACAACTGAACCAGAATAATTGTACGGGAAAGGGGTAAGGGACGAAGTACTCTAAAAAAGAACGACAGGTCACTTTGTGTCGGGGTTGGTAATCCCCCAGGGTAATGGTTGGAGAGATAAGGGGGTGACAATCCTCCAGGGTAGTAAGTGAAAAGTGATAATCTTCTCTAGGGCGTGGTATTCCCCCAAGGTAGTGAGTGAGAGGTGATAATCCTCTGGGGGTGATAATCTTAGCAAGTTATGGAGAAGTGAAAGCTTTGTAGGGGTCCAATTTTCCTAGGTTAAAAAAAATAGGTGTCTATGGGGGAAAGGGTGACCTGTATGGGAACACTTCATCCCAGACCCATTTGTTTATTCGACTTCAAAAACCTTGATACAGGTAAACAGGAACTATTGTTATAATACTGTTTGAAGAAAGTCACAATGTAAGATTTGCGAAGATTTCCGAGCCTATAACAAACACTACAAGACTGCTAGGATATGTTCCTAGGAAGGCAAAAGTCACCTAGAGAAATAATACACTGCCTTGTGTTACCTTCAAACAGTTAACGAGAAAACATTAGCACTGAACAAAGGCAGCATCAGTGGAGACAAATAAAACAGCAAGAGAGGGAGGGAGCGGGGATTTAACAGTAGTTCTCAAGGAAAGCGCAATAATACAGAAACGTTTTCTGCGTCGCTAAGCACGAAGTTATGAATGTCACTATGTTCTTTAGTGTGCATGTGACAGAGTGCATGATTGGCTGAGCCCAATCACTCGACAGGAGAATATCACGTACAGGAAGTGAACTGGTTTATTCCTCTCCATAGGGATTTAAGGCGGGTCTATGGTTATCACATTAACTTTCATTTATAGGTCTATAAATTAGCTTCGAACAATCTTTGCACGAATCTCTGGTCAAACACTTTTCCTTATTTGTTCAACGGACAGAGCAAAGTGCGTAAGGAATGCATTAACGTCTAAAGGTTTTGCCTCACCAGTCAAAGAAAATTGAGTAACTGTTTTGAACCAACGGGCGAAGTTGCATGCTCGTAAGTGGCCGTAACCTACCAACAATATCTTCCGGTTTTAAAGGCCTAAAGGGCTTTTTAACCTTAAAATTATTTAAGTAGCCTCTTCCAGGCGTTCAGATAGTAGGACGTGGCCTAATGGTAATGGTAAATCGTGAGGTCTTCTGGTGCCTAAATGGTTTTAAAAAATGGTCACGTGACATTGAAAATGAATAAAATTAGCGAAATAGTAGCGATTTTTCTTTAGTTGCATAAATAAACTGGCGTTTCAGATAACGAGGGCATATATATTTCTTTCTACGTTTGAAATGAATGCACCAAGAGTTTTAATTAAAAGTTCCTAGAAATTCAAAATTAAATTTGGGCATTAAAATGATGTTTTTGCTCAGTTTTTTTTTCGAAGTACCATGGACTGTCATTCCAAACGCGAAGTTATAAGTTTTGTTAATGTGAATGAAAAAATGATACCGCATGACTTCTTTTCTTAAATCCATCACCAGTTTTGTCAATTGTAAGAGTTTTAGAAAAATGGTCATATGAGGTATCCCGTGATCTATTAACACAAAATGTCTACTTTCAAATGTCAACGACAATAAGTTCTTTTGTGTGTCAATTTTGATTCCGGCTCCTTAATCTGTTCCGAAGTTGTAGCCAATAAATCATTTTCCATTGCTAAACCCATCCGCGCACAATTTTGCTCAGGTTTACGGAATTTTAGTGCCACGATAAGGATATAAATTATCTTTTTTTCTAAATTTTTGATATTGAAACGCAATTTTTTATGTAACTGAACGTTGTCACAGAGATCGAAAAATGCTGACCAAAAGTTCGCATGGGCTGGCAAAAGAGGGAATCTGCCGGATTAGACTAGCATGACCGAATTGCAGTCAACCGCCCGATTTCCTCCAAATTGCACCAATATTGCTTGCTAGTTCAAGTGGCGTTCAGTGTGTCAAAATATCGAAGAATATATTCCAGTACTTGTTATAGGATCTGATGGGCCACCTAAGCCCAAGAAAAATTAAGAAGTGCCACTGTCAATTTCCATCTGCGTCCCAAACTTTTTCTTGATGAAGCTTAAGGCTACAAAGTGTAAAGAGCCACGGGTGTGTTTCGTAAAGCGACCCTCAGCTACCCCTTTACGAACTGATCAACAAGTACTCAAAGCAGTTCGTTCGCACAAGGTTCTAGGCAGAGGGCGGCGGAGGGGAGGTGTCTCCCAGGAAATCGGTGCAGTGGACATTGCGGCTATCTGCGTCGCTCCTTTACGTTCCGTCCTAGAGTACAATGTTGCGTGGCTTGATATAACGCCCTTCCTGCCCATCTGCCTAGTACAATAGAGTGGGTCCAAATGCGAGCTTTAAGGATAATATACCTTCGGAAGCTTTACAATTTGGTAGAGTCGTTAGAGTTGAGGACAGGCGCAGTGGGCTCTGTATGAGCACTATAAACAAAGACAGGACCTTGTCAACCTGTGATTAAAGGTCATTTGTATATTTGTTTAATATTCACAGTATTCTTCATTCGATTTACCAACATCTTTCACTTAAATTGTTCTCTCAGAACACATAGCCTGCGTTGCAGGCGCTTGGAAGTAGTGGGCGCAAGAAAGAGCGGGCGCGCGCGAGGGAGACACGCGGAGACGCCCGTTTGCAGGCTAAAAACATTATAGAAATGGCGTTTCTGGGGCAGCATGCCGCCTTACCCCGCCCGTAGCGGCTCGCTCCTTGTCCTTGGACGCTAACACTAGTTTTTTTGATAAATAAAAATGGTTGTACGGTCTGTCTCAGTCCTGATATACTTATTTAGGTATATAGTATTCTTTTTCAAGGTAATTTCAGGCGTTCGGTATCAAACGTTTTACAAATCTTTAGCTATATTAGTATCTTATGAGGACAAAAGCGGGTATCAGTGGTATCCCACTGCCCCCCACCCTCACCCCCTCTATACGGGCAGGGCCCGAAATTATGGAAGGGCGGAGTCCATGCCGTGAAAATAATGATTCATTACCAATACAAATTCCTCGGTGTGATACGCATTTTGTGCAATTTTAGGAGGAAAAACTCATTCAATTAGGGCATTTTTTTCTGGAGAGAAACAGAAATTTCGTTTATCACAAATATTTTGGCCGCCGACGGGTTACGTAGCCACGTGACCGTAACATTACCTGACAAATCGCGCTATGATTTGATTTTGAAACGAAACTGCATAACTTCAGCCGGCTGGATAGACTTCTTCCATCAAGAATCTAAAGTAAAGGTAAGCGTCTTATTTACCGAGAACAGATAAAACGGTAAATGACTAATTGATTTTATTGTGCGTCAAACGGTTTTTAAAAACAGCCTGATTATTACAATAATTTATGCACCGCGGTGAAATTCACTCTGAAATTGCGGAAGGAACTTCAAATTCTACCTTGCCTTTCTTGTACATGTTTTGTATCCCGGGGTAGTAATATTTATTTTCATTTCTTAGAGAGCTTGGATAAACTTCTGATCTAGAGAATTCTATTAAAAACATTGTTTGCTGTTCAGGGCAGGTAGTTAACTTAGTTACAAAGGACGGCGCCCTCCAGTTGATCGTGGTAATCAGTAACATGCATGATAATCCCTGTTACTATATCTCTTTCGATTCAAAAGTACTTAACGAAGCTTAATTACTTTCTTTTAGAGGCCGAAGACGAATTCAAGTATCAAAGAGGCAATTTCATGGAACTTTTAATGTGTACAATCATGACATCTGGCACGGCCAGTAATTATGCAAATACACAAAATGGCAGATTATAATCTACTGTTGGTTGCAATCCCAGAAGATACCCACAAGTCTGAGCATATAAACCAAAAATATAAGCTTAAAACTTTACTTTGATATGATTACTTAAGCCAGATTTAGGCCGCAACTTTTGAGATATTTTCCCTCAAATCTTCCTTACTTTCAGGGTTTGGATTAAGACTGCAAAATAGATATTCTTTGAACCACTGTAACTTGAACACGTTTTGATCAAAGATATTTTTATTTAGCCTGTCAACTATCGAAGGTTGACTAAAAAAACTGAATCGAACAGATTTTTGTGCGGGCTTTCGTTTGTTTGCAACGCGCTTTTCAAAATCCATTAATGCTCTCAACCCATAACCCCTTAGATAAAAGCAAGTAACTAAACCAGAATTATTATGGGGAAAAGGGGTAAGGGATGAAGTTCTCCAAATATGGACAGCAGGTCACTTTTCTCTACATATTAGTGTAACAGTCCGAAATCTACAAGGGGAGAGGTGATAATCCCCCAGGATAGTGAGAAGTTAGGTGATAATTCTCTCTAGGGGTTGATAACCCCCCTTGGGTACTGGCGAAAGGTGGAAAGACGTCTCTAGATGTCTAATTCCCCGGTTTAAGGAGTAACAAGAGCCTATGGGGCAAAGTGTGACCTGAGCACTTCATCCCGAACCCATGTTTATTAATTGCCAACAACTCTCAATACAGATATCAGCACTAATTTAAGCCAGAATTGCGTGCCTGCTGCCCGTCAGGAAAAACCCTCAATTATTTTGAGGGAACCTGAACCCTCCCTAAAGCAGAGCCAGACACTT